AAGGTAATCTCTTAGCGCCCTATCAAGCGCCTACCTCTGGAGACCGACTTCCACGTAAATCGAAGTTTTGACGCGAATTTTGAAAATTGGGGCAGAAAGGAGTGAATAGTACCGATCTTTGTCAAGGCCAGACATCCCTCCCCACCAGCCAAGTACAACACATTCAAAAACGGACTGGTTCACAGAATGTGAGGTGGCTGTACAATAACTTGTGAGGCCAGCTAATAAACAACTCAGTGACAAATCTGGTTTCAACTAACCGTCTCCGGAGGGTAGAATGCTTGGTTGACATGGGCAGCCCTAATCCGGGATCGGACCTAAGGACCGCGCGCGTGGTAAGCAGCTTATCACTACAACGTTTAATCCTTGAGGTATGGCAACAAAATCTATGGCCTGGGTACGCAGCAGCTTCGCCATTCAGCTCTTCCAGGACATTCTTCGCGGAGATGGCTGTATAGTCTACTTTCAGTAGTTTATCATTTCCCATGGCAGAAAGCAGGAATCCTTATATAGCCCATGTAACCTCAACTTCCACCTCTTGCCCTTTATACCTTACTGGTAACGCCGGGCTTGCTCACTGTGCTCCCAGGTATTGTTCCTTTTGGGAAATCAGACATACTTTAGCTCTGTTATAGTCAGCTTCGCCGTTGGACGACTTAGGTTTAGAAGGAGTAAATGTTCTAATGGGACAAACCTCTTGATGAATCCAGCAGTCTTGTGCAATAATCTCTCCATCAGTATTCCACAGTGCAAAACATGCAAATCCCATGTCAAATGCAGAATCTGATGATGGCATCGAACATTTCCGTACACCTATTACTCCATCAATGTTGTACGTGCAATTCACGTAAGCTTGGCCATGCTGATCAACACTAAAGTAGTCCGATTCCATGCTGAAATAGTAATCTTAGAGCTTCAGTGCTGTTGGTTCTGTCGCCAAACCTCCTCTCAACACCTGCACAAGAGGAAGCTCAGCTGCTCAAACAGATGACAATCATATAGTACTGACAGTTCTGTGCGTTTTGTAGTATGTTTGACGTCATGAGGAGCATGATGCTTCCGGAGATGGCCACCGTCTTTGTTCAGCATAAAATACCTGGATTCGACCAGAACAACTATGAATGCCAATAAAAGAGCTCGGCTTGGTCCAAAATCCATACTACTGTAACAAGTAAATATAGCTGGTGCAACTAGGCGATTCTGATAGTTTAGGGAAACGCCATGCAAAAATGATTAAGAGAGGATAATGATAGAGTTGAGGCAATTTCCTCAAATATTATGAGATAAATTGAGCGCTAGCAGAGCATTCATCGCATTTTCATGTGAACGTGTGAAACACACGCCTCTTCCAGACATCCGATATCAGTCTAGACAAAAATAAGTGGCGTTATGAGGTAAGCAGATGGGAAGCGCTCAAAATCCCCCCATGGTCGCATTTCCTTTGACTAATCGTCGATGATCCGACCGTTGGACAAACAAGCGATTCACCATGTTGAGCTACTCACCCTTAATATAGCCTATAACTAATATAATCAGCTTGAAATGTTTGACTAATCGTTTCCTATTAGGCATTTGCAAAGCATCTGCTGTACTGCACTACGTCCTACAAAGTTCTGCTAATCGGATAATATCATCTAGGCCAGTTTTACAAAGTCTACTGGTACTGTGGCTCTGCGAAATGGATTTGAATAAATTGGTAAGAGAGACGTTACTCATTTCATTAATAGTTCATCACCCAACCCACCACCACAAAAAAGTTCGAGTGTCTGGGCAGCTTAATGAGGAACGGTGGCGTGGGGGTGGCTCAGACGTGGGGAGATCAGTTTACTAAGTGAAGCATAATTTAAGTCCTTTGGATTACTTCCATGTAAGAGTAGAGTCAACACTTCGAACAGAATGAATTTTGAGAGGTTTTGCACGGGTACAACCTACAAATTTGGAGGTCGCGAAATCTGGGCATCCGTAGCGTACGAATTTTACGGTACGTTCTAGAACCTATGCGATCCCTTCAAGCCTGGTCTGCACTCTTCAGCTTCTCTAGGGCTAACCATTCAACATAACCCTTCTACTTCGTGAAGACGACAGAAAATGGTGCAATCAGTTCTCGTGATCCCTTTGACATCCAAAGGTTCCTCGGGGAGAGCTTTTTGTGCAGAGCTGATTTTCTGCAGGCTTCTCAGAGAACTCTTAATGAGCCAGACAGTATGCCCCTGCAAACACGACCGAAGGATCTATGGACTGAGAGAAGGCGACAACGAAGAACACTAGACATTACAACAATAAACGTCTGGCAATTTAGCAGATCATACACCAACGAAGCACATGAGGCAAAACCCGTGCCTGTGGGTGTGTTGTATCTAACCATGAGATCAGTCTGTGGGGTATTAGCCCACACATACGTCGAACTGAGCTCTGGGCCCAAGATACAGGCCCATGAACTCATATGCACAACATATTGTAACAATTTACTCCTACACTGTAATAGCAAACCCGCCCGTCATCCATTACCCATCAATTGACGACGTGGGCTATATGTGGCCGCATATAATGGACGTGGGGGGGGATATGCAACCAAATGAAAGAGGTGTGATCTTGACGAGACACATCCGACCGAATGAATAGATGAATGCCAGATTGAGTACGTGTATAGGCACAGCTCTCTCTCACACACTCTCAGTGACCAATTGTTGTGAGTTGAGCTCCGGTAAGCTCCGCCTCCATATGCTTCACATTCATGAAGAGTAAACGCCCATCAGTCAGACGTTGAAAAACTTGTCTGCTCTAAAAAAGTAACCATTCAAAGCGTATGATGATGAATAAGACAGATCATCAGTAGAATACCGGAAACTATCCATTTTCCAGCAGATTTTTCTCTATTGCACATGACTACAGAAGAACAACAAAGACGTATTATTATGATAACTACTGTTTAGGGCTGCAGTTTGCAAGTTGTGCTGCTGACTTATGGTCACAAAGCAGACCCAGGCGGGACTCAAACCCGCACCTCATGCTTATCGGCAGGGTGCTACAACCTTTTGCGCTCAGGCTGCCACTTTTCTGGAGGCCATAGCTTCGTCTACATATGACTTCTGAAGAAGATTCAGTACATGTTGGAATTCACTTGATTGGCGCTTCTTGATATGCCCTATAATTCTTCTACAGCTCAATTACCTAGAGGGAGATGCTGCTGCACACTGAAATAGTAGACTTTGTTTGTACTGCAGGGCCTCTCGAGTGTGTTTTGGTGGAAAACTTTATTTTACGGTTCAACGTTTCTACGTGATCGTTTTCTTCAAAGGCCTAAACCGGAATGAAAAAGTAGAGTTATTTGGGCTGTGAGAGTGAGCATTTCTACTTCATTTCCCACGGTTCCTTCCAGAACCCACGGAATGCGTACAGGACATGTTTCCGCCCGCAACTAATGTTTCTACCTGTAACTATGGACTTGGTAGGCTCAGCCATAAGGTGCGACCTCCTCCACATTCCTACTGGCATGCTGGTCCATGAAACAGCTTTATTTCTCATGACACACTCCCTGTACTAAGGAGTAGGGCACAACAACACTGGGGACTCCTCGACAGGGGGAGTCTGGTCGCTGGGGGTCGTATGGTCGTTGAAAGGGGTCGTACTAAGTCTAAAAAAGTTTTTTTGATAGTCGATTATTCTTGTTCCAGGGGCGCTATAAAGGGAGATGGTCGTACTTGCCTAGTGGCCTTCTGAGAGATGTTGTTAACCTTTCGTGGATTTCCTGTTTCATAGGCACTATATACCCACTACCCACCCCCGCGCTCGATAGCACAATTTTAGGGAAAAGTAGGAATGTTTTTGGGAAATCCGGAAAAACTGGTGAGAAGTTGGGAAATTCCAAGGACGTGGTAGGCAGGATGAGGAAGGGATCGCATTTTCTTCTCGGATTTTCCTGTTTCACATGTGCTATAACTCCCTCTCCCCTCGGCTTGACAGCTCAATGAGGAGGGAACCGGGGTAGAAGGGAGGGGGGGGTCGTATCAAACCATGTTTCAGAGGGGAGGTTCGTACGGACTCAAACAAAATCCTTAACTAATGATATGCCCAGGTTAGGAGCATGTGAAAGCACTTCCGCGATGGGATCCATCTTTCCATCGCTTCAGTTCCGCCTTCGACCCTTGCCCCGCACATACCTTGTCACTGCTCCGTTGACATATGATTTCTCTGAATACGACCCCCCCCCCTCCAGTACGATCCCCATTGAAAATTCCTGAACGGATGCGTGACCTTGCTCATTCTCAGACGTGATGAGTCGGTCAGCCAATATCGGCGTGGCTGAAGGGTTCGCAAGTTTTTGAAAATGTTTTAGAAGATAATTCTTGTTTAAGGCCGCAGTTCACGCTTACCTATCCGGTCAGGGCAGCCCTTACTCTCAGCCCGCTGGCCCACCAGAGCGTGAGGTGCGGGTTTGAGTCCCGCCTAAGGATTTCGCCTATATCTCAGCATTTCTGTGAGAACAACAAAGGTTAGACGAATGGAAGGCGGAAGAACGTCGTCATTAACAGTACTCGTTTGTAAAAGTAATCATGCTACTTGCTAAAGCTGCATTCTGATCTCCTAACTAACGATACACCAAAGACATCAAGCGTAAATCTTCTGGACAATGAACAGACAATAGAACCCGTGTAGAGCAGAGGGCATAAAGGATTAATTCAGGAAAGGAAACAATAGGGTCTCTGCAAGTTACTACAGTAAACATCTGCTAAACATGGTAATCACAAGGCTGCTGCGACATGGGCAAAAGTCTTGGCTCCAGACTGCACTCGAGTCCACACCTCACGCTTGTCGGGCGGATGCGTTGTCCATTACGCCACCAGGACCGCTCCTACTCCGGATTTAGAGCCACATACAGCATCCACACGTTCGTTTCACATGGTGAGCTAGCCAGCCAGATATCGGCAGTGAGCCGCGAGGTTAAAGGCTTTACAAGTTTTTGAAGTTGTTTTGTGATGATGAATATTTTTTGGAAACATAAAAACTGAAAAAGCATACAGCTAAACATAGAGTACATAAGCAAACCATCCATGTGGGCGTGTACTCCAAATCTCCCTGGGATGCGGTAGGCGTGGCCGCGTACTATGTTTTGAAGTGGTAGCGGGCGCTTTTGGTGAGATGTTTATTTTCACTGTGGAACAATTGAAAGCATGTTGTTGTCCAGCACAAGACAAAAAAATCAAAATATCCCACAAATAAGACCCTGTCCTGTGCCATGTCCAATTGATGTACAAAGCCATGATACGTTTCACATAGCCTTGTACCGGAGACGGAGTGGGCGTGGCACTTGAACGTGGCGCGGAACGGGTTACTTGTGGGATATACAAGTTTGAGAGAACTACCATCGTGTTCAATGTTGAACAAAGACATGATTACAACTGCCCCAAAATGAAAATATCTCACGGAAAGCTTAGCCGCCACCACGTTCAATTCGAGTACGCAGCCACGCCCACCGCATCTCACATCAGGGATTTCGAGTATATGTGGACTGTATGCATATGGCGTAGAAGCCAGAGGTGCAGTTTTTTATTCCATTCTTCCAAACCCTTCATAATTTGTTTACAAAATACATAATGACGGTACAACACACATACAGTCCTCATCATTGCGGACCGGTGGGGCGTGGCAGTGCGTTTGGTGCGGTTTGGCAAAGTCGTTCTGCACCAGTTTTTGAAGCGGGCAAGTGCATTACTGTATTATGTCCTTCGTATTAGTCGTTTTCTACCACTTTCTGTCGCAT